CGGGTAGACTTTGCAAGATCACAAGGAAGAGAGGTCGTCAGCCGTTTCCCAGGAGGAGGCTCCTGGAAAGACGCTTTGACGGTCAAGTTAGAAGGCATTTTAGGGTTTTAGCAGATATAGCTGGAGAAGATTGCTTACCTCGTGAATTCTAGAGCGTACCCTTTTATACCTAGCGATCCTGCCCTATCTGTATGCGACAAGAAAGCTTTAAGGATACATGGCCAGAGGCATTGATTGGAGGGTCGTGCACCTTTATCCATTAGAGCGTCCTTATTGGCTCTGACGGTAATGGTCTGATTTTGCCTCTTGTCTAATGACCGTATCTTTTGTCTTGACGCTGGGAGCGTCTCTGGCGGGCACGAGCTTTTTGTCGGGACGTTAGGAGCGCCTCTGGCGGGCGCAAGCCTTTTTCTTGGAGGCCCTGCTCTTAAGGGCGTCGACGGGGTTAAGCCTGGTGAGCTTGGTTCGGTTGGCGCATCAGGTTTCTTGGCCAGACGTGGTTCTATCGTGCTAGCATGAGCACATCATCAAGTCCCCCAGTCCAGTAGCCGTAGCGTTGCAGCGCTAGTTGTAGCATTCTGGACATGGTATCACTATGTGTGTCAATTTCTTATTTATCTGCCGCTCCTGTTTTAATGCCGACGTGACCGCTCATGATGGTTAGCGGTTACGTCATTGTGTCAGATATTTTGAATGTCCCGCCCTTTCTGTTTCGTTATAAAAATGCTCATAGGGTTTTCTTTGAACCCATCATCTTCTTATCGTCTTCCTCCTTCTTTATATTGTTTCCTTTCTTAACCTTTTTATAGCGAATCTTCATAGTATTCTACCTTCTACGGCAGAGTATGAGCAGCTTGAAACCGCTTATGGCCTTTCTTCATTGGAGGGTGTAGAATTTCCCTCACCTGGTTCTTCTATTTCATCCCCCCCCCCCCCGGGAAAACTGGGATCTATCAAAAAGCCCTAGATGCTTGTGTTCATCTTCCATTGACAGATTTCCAAGAAGAGGTCCTTCATAGGGACGGTTGTAGCTTGCAGATGTTGACTCCCAACGTTGTTAACAAAGTGGTGGTGTTTGAGATGATCTGTCGTGCTAACGGTTATCCCCTTGACTACTTTGTGTTTAAGTGCTTCATCAGGTTCCATCTTACAGGCAAAAAGTGCACATTCTCTGTCCGATGGGGAGGGCATGCTTTGGTTCTTGATGGACGAATGCCCAAAAATTGGCAGGACAAATGGTTGTGGGTGAACTGGAGCCTAGTTGGTAGCGGACGATATCGTGCGAATGCTTTTGTTGACACCATTCCTAAACTTTTTCCCCACAATTAGAGAGTTGCTGATTTTCTTGAAGGATATCCAAGTGTCTCCTGAAGACTATTCTGAAGCCCTACTATCTGGCGTAGGGATGAGCCCTTCCTGGAGGCGTCGCGGTAAGATAACGATTTTCTTCTGCGTCGTTGATGGTGAGTGCCTACTTCCTCCTCTTTTCCTTTCCCTCTCGCTTTCTTCTCTCTCTTTTTTGTATATACTTAGTTGAGGCTAAGGTTTTATGTTCTCGTGCTTTTAGGTGTTGAATATGCTCTGTCCATGGATGAAGTCCTTCGAAAATGCTATCACAGGAACTTGAAGCATCGGGAGGCAAACTTGGTCAAAAGCCTACCTCCGCCTCACCGGATAGATCAACTTGCCTTGACCGCCGCTTTGCCTACCTCTCTAGCAACTAGGGGTGTCTTGTCATCTAAGGCGAACCCTCTGATTGCCCGCCCTATCTCATCTGTCCTGTCATTGGGTGGTGTTCGCCCTTCTTCCGCGGAGAGCAGCGAAGACAGCAAGGAGGGGATCATCCTTGACGCCCGGCGCATGCAGACTAAAAGGGAAGTCGTGATGGCTATGGGCGAGCTAGCCACCGGTGTGCCACACGTTTCCAAGCGGGTTCAGACCAGGCACAGTTTTTCTTGTCTTCTGAATTCCATTGCTTCGGCTCCGTCGGGTGTTGTTGTGATCCCTGATGATGACGACCAATAGTCCATAGGGATTGTTGGGGTGTATAATCAGCCCATTGTTTCTTCTGTAGTTGTTTCTTCTACACCTATTCATATCACCTCCCCTGCTCCTGCTAAGGTTTCTCCCACAAGAGACCTAAACGAGCCATATTAGACTCCTGTTTGTCAGGGTGGCACTATTGGCGGGGACTCTTATAGGCCCCCTAGTTTTGTTCCCTCCTGGAACCTTCACAGCGAGTCGCGCCTTTCTGTTCGTTCTAATGCCATCGAGTTCGCCTGACACGCCTTTCCCCCGGCTGCCATTGCGGACATGGATGCTATGGCTAGTCCTGCCCTTTCACATAACATGTCTTATGTTGCGGTACAGGCGATGTTCTATCTTGTTGCTGGTGCACGACGTATTCAATCCCTGGGAGAAATGGAAGCTATGCATGCCAGGTGTGGTGCCCGTATTTCTTAATTGGAGCGTCGTGTTCTCGAGCTTAGGGACGATCTTCAGCTGTCTGAAGAGAAGTTTCAGCTTCTTGCTTTGGAGAAAACTGTTGAAAAGGATTCCAGATCCGCTTTGGAAGTGAAAGTTGACTCTCTCACCCAGGTTAATGAGGGTTTAATGATCCAAGTTGAAAGTGTTGAACGCGATGCTGCTGATCATGACCGGGTAGCCACTGCTCTGCAGGCGATTGTCGACGCTGCATGCCGTGACCTAGACTGGTTGGTGCGAGTGGGTCTTGTGTGGATTGTTGACAAGCTGATTAAACATCTGGGCTTCATGAATGTTGTGAGTCTTATTCAACACTTTGCCTTTGTTGCTGGGGCGGAATCTGTACGTAATGCCTCGGCGCTTGTTGGGCTTGGAGATACAACTATCGGTGCCTCTTCCTCTGGTCCTACTATGAGTATGAATGAAGCTCTCCTATTGTTTGCCACTATGGATCATGCGGTGTTCCTTGGGTTAGGATATTTAGACATCCAAGGGATTCGTGAATTGTGCATCTTCTCTGGTTCTGAGGGTACTCCTGAAGTTGTGGCAGGTAATGAAGAGGAGGTTGTGCAGTTAGGTGAAGATACTACTGGAGCGGAGAAGCATGGAGCTGAAGGTGTTGGTGGTAGTATTGGTGATGTTGATGCGGGCGGTGAGGTTTGGAAGGTAATGTGTTTGTTTCTGTGGGCAATGGTGGCGGTGGAGATGGTGATGGCGGTGGAAATGGTGATGGTAAAGATGCGAATGTTCTTGCATCGTGTGTTACCCCTTTTGGGGCGTGAAGATTTTCCTTTTCTGTTTGACATGTTTGTATTTGTTGTTTCTCTACAGCCTTGGATGTATGCTTTTTTTTATGTTGGCGATGTAAGACACTACTAGAAAAACAGCCTTTTACGACGCTCATTGCGCGTCGTAAAAGGCTCAGACGACGCGCAAATGCGCGTCAAGGAAGGCCCTGTCATAAAGAGAGACGACGCGCATATACGACGCGCGTTTACGACATGCAATGCTTATCAAGGAAGGCCCTGTCATAAAGGAAGACGACGCGCGTGTTAATGACACGCAATGCGTATTAAGAAAGCCCCTGTCAAGAAAGGTCATGTCATAAATGAAGGTGACACACATTTTTGCGTATCGTAATTTTAATTTTTTTTAAAAAAAAATAATTTATAGATTTACTTATTTTCATATTAAATTTGCATTTCATGTCACATAATGGAAAATAAAATACCATTTACAAATAATACAATGCACTACACAAAAGTTAATGTTATACAAATAATCATTCCAATAGTAGATAAATGTAATAATACAAATAATCATTCCAATATTAGACAAATGTAACATTTCAACATTTTTTTTATATAATTAACTAAATTATTAGCCAAATTTCCTAAAATAACAACATACTTTTCTATGAAGAGCATTAACACTATTCTTTTCCATCAAAAACTTCAAAACCTGGATAATTAATTTAATGTTTAATCAACTACAGGTCAATAAGGTAGGTTTAAGCAAAAGAGTTTTATAGTAGTAAGATTTTACTTACCACTGTTGTTAATGACATTGAAAGAAGCATCCCAACAAACAACCCCTCAGAAGGATTATTACTAAATGAAACCAAAAACAAAATTAAAAAGTCAAGTACTTTGAGACAACCCCGGAACCACGGGCAAGGCTGTTTTTACCCATGGTTTGACCTAATACATGATAATAAATACTTGTTTAACAAAAAGAAAAATGATTTCTCACATGACATCACTATCAAGAATTGATGAAAGAGGGCACTCCACACTGTATTGCCAACAAGCTTGACAGCAACACCTGAAAGCTGGAAAAAACAATAACATAAATAAAAATAAATGTAAGATTTGAGATAACAGATGCATGTGTATTAAAAACAGACACTTTTATTAACTTTTTTGGGTTAAATAATGGAGTAATAAAGATTTGAAATTTAAATATGAACATACTGGCCATAGGCTATCTTTGTCAAGCTTGGAAGCTCCTTCTTCGGCTTGGTTGAAGTAAAACCTAGTCCGATTAATCATCCCTTTCATGAATTATCTCTAGTTATCAGTCACTCTTCTTGAGTAAACATCATCATCACATAGCCCATATTGGGCTAGCTCATCTTGAGGAAGATACACTTAAGCTACTACTACCACTTCTCTACAAACCCTTGTTTCTGGGAAAGCATCAAAATCACAAAAAAAAAAATCCTAGAATTGGAAAGTGCAATAAGGTAGGATCCAATGCTGGTGAGCTTCACAAAAAAGTCTTTTTCTTTCGACTCAAATTAAAAAAATATTGTGATGAGTTTTTGTTGCAAACTGAATTATGCAGATTCTCCATCAAGACATAATCTAACCCTCGCTGGCCCCTGTCGATATGATAGCTCTTTAGGTAACACATAAATAACTGCATCGACCTTTTCCTCTCTTTCTCTCTCTCTAAGTAACACATAAATAACTGCTTAATCATGTTCCCAGTCACCCGGAATGTGATCACTGGAGTCCTTTTGGGTGTTGTTATCTGTGCTGCAAGAACATGAGTCTAAGAAGAACCCCGAGTTGTCACTGGAGGAGGAAGATTCCTACTCCAGACTCTGGTATCGGTAACCAAGATAAGAAGTCGGCTGGTAATTGCAAGCCTGCCAAGGTTCAGTGGAGTGAACGAATGTTTTGTGTTTTCGTCCATCTTGATGCTGGATTATTGACGTACGTATTGATCGTGGGGTCCGTGGGGAGCATCTAAAAAACAAAGCAAACAAAAAAAATGAAACTGCTTGACTAATAACATAAAATAAAATAAAAAAAAGATAAAAATACCTTGCATAAAAGAGCATGTATGCGCCTTTTGTTAATACATGTTGAAGATCCACCTCGTTCACCTACATTGACATGATATAACTCATATAAGCATAAGCATAAGAAATGAAAGGTGGTATTTTAGAAAAAAAATGGTGAATACATACCATGGTGTCATTAAATTTGAACCATTGATTGTGATGATTCTTAACATAGCAAACATATTGACCAGAAAAGGCATCATTCATTGTATCTACATGAACCACCACCCCATAAAGCCTGTAAATTGGCGACTTATCACTTGACCCACTAACATATGGAGCCATGTCTAAAATCTCTGGGAACTCAACCGATTTGGTTAGCTTCCCAAATTTAGCACACTGTAATACAATCAAATTCAGTAACATAATAAGACTTGCACAAATATCTTTTGGTAAAAAAATATTACATGAAATCTCTTCAATGAAATAGTAAGCACATTAGGAGCCTCCAATAACATCAGTTTCTTTCTGACTTTCTCATAGGATTTGCACCTTAAGAGCAAATTAATTAATACACTATATAACACTGAAAATGATGTGATCAAGAAAAGATAGGTGAACTAACACCAAAACCAACCTGCTGCATTTGTACTTGTTCTGGGGAGGAGTTAAAAAACAAAGAAAGTAAGTCGGCTTCCCGACCTGCTGGACGGGTTGGTTTCTAGTCTTGCTGATGTTATTATTATTATATAATCATGTGTTAAAAAGATACTTGTCTTATGATCTTTTCGACATTTTAAGAAAACTGGTTGGACTTGGGTTTTTATATTAATATCATGGGTCAAGAACGACTGAAACAAATGATTGTTGATTTGTTGGGCAAGGCCTTTTAATCTGGATTCTAGTGAGCCAACTATATGCATGAAAGTGTTTGTATCAAGGTTCAACATGTAAACAATATGGTTGTTGAATAGAACTCCAAAAATAAAGCGGCAGCAATGACTCACCACTATTGATATGGATAAAGAAAACTAATATTAATCATATCTAAAGTGACACTAATATTAAGTTAGATTACTTTTTTTATATATCATATAAATTATAAAAATCATAAAAGAACTAATTATATGGATAAAGAAAACTCACAAGGTTACCAAAGCCAATGTAGATTGGCTTTGGGCCAGCTTCAAGCCAGCGTACAAGTTCTTCAGGGGGTTTGTAGTTTGATGTGAGATCAAGGAAACAAAATCCAACCACATAAATTTTAGGTCCCCAATCTGTTAATATTATGATTTGATTAATCCATCTCATATAATAAAGTCTAATAAATAGTTAATATAGGGAAAATTTACCTTTTGGTTTAGGAACAAGATGAGGACTCCATATGTATCCATGTGGATATCATTCTCAGAGCCTTGAGAACCACTAAAATAAGTGATAGGTTTCAGATTCAACTTTTTCTTCCAAACATCATTTATCATGTCTCGAATTCCAAGCCAGATTAAAGAGTCACCTATCTGATATGAAAACTGCAACAATACATGTAAAATACAAAAGTTAATTATGTAATAGAAACTAAAAGAACTACTAATATTAATGATTGAACTTACTCTATATCCAGCTGATTGCTTGACATGGGATAGAGGATGAGGAAATTCCTCCTGTTGAAGAAACTCCATGTTTAAGTTAGACAATATCCTACCTCAATCACACTCTGGGATAAGGATAATGGGTTCATCATCAAGATAACGAACTGGATCTCCATAAGGGCCCACAATCAGAAGCATGTCATCCCAATACAACAATACAATGTCCATTCCACACCAAGCAAGTTGCTCTGGAGCTAGGGTAGAATGTAGAAGAAACAAAAACAAGAAATCATTATATAAGGAGAAGATAATGAAACCTGATTGAAGCCTTGAAGTTGCAGGGACGTCAAAGTGAAGACAGAAAGAAGAAACAATTTATTTGTGAGAGAAGACACATGAAGAATGTACCTTTTGGGAGTGAACCAAGAAGGAGTATGATCAAATGGGTCTCCTTGACGGGCGGCACGTAGGTCAGTGACGGTGGCGGAGAGGAGAGATGGGTTGGAGGAGAAGGCAGAAGTGCGTGCTTAGGTTGATGGCGAGCTTTGGCTTTGATTTCGTTCCAGACCCAGTTGCATTTGTTTTCTCAGCCATTGACGGGGGTTTGTGGGGATGATGATGGCATCGTGGACAACGACATGGCGTTCCGATCTTGAACCGGTATCTTGAGATGGCGGAAGTGTGTGCTTAGGTTTCTTGATGCACTCCAAACTCTTAAAGCTTATCAGGTTCGATGTTGGTGGTGGTAGCTTAGGGCTTGCAGAGAGAGAGAGAGAGAGAGAGAGAGAGAGAGAGAGAAAGAGAGAGAGATGGAGAGAGAGTGCAGAGGTAAAGGAAGACGAGCCGATTCAAAAGGATGTGTCGATTCAAAAGGATTATTAGGGTTCTATTGTAGGATTCTAGTGTGGATTGAGCTTTTAAGGTTCAATGGCGGTGGCAGTGGCGATGGCTTAGGGTTTACAGAGAGAAGGAAGGAGTGAATGAAAAGGGAGATATTATGGAGAGAGGGTAGAAGCGGGGTTCTTCAAAATTTTAGAATTTCAGACGATTTCGTTTTCCCCCTTTAAAAACCCGCGTTTAGGCAAAAAATATAAAGCGACACATTCAGAGGACGCACACTTTATGAAAGGTGCCCTCTGCATTTCTTTTTTTTTTTTTCTTTTCCTACACTAATTTTAGGGCACGCACAAATGCGTGTCCACTATCCTTCAGATTTTGCAAAATTGACATTATTTTATAGGGCACACACCAATACGCGTCATCTATCAGCGAGTGTCATTGTTTGCGCGTCATTAAAGGGCTTTTTTCTAGTAGTGAGACTTGGGATTTTGTTTAATCGTTACTTAGTATGTGGATTTAATGTTAACCCTGATTGCGTATTTTGGGTGTGGCGGCTAATACACTAAGTACTAAGGCCAGATGCATTAAGCATTTAATTTAAACTTGATACGTAGACTTTTTTTGATGCATTAAGCATCTAGCTTTGTCAATGTGACATTTGATACACTAAGTGTTATGATTGAATGCCCTAAGCATCTGGTTGCATCGTTGGTTTTGACACATTGAACATTTCGATGCACTAAGCAGTCGATTGCATTGTTATGAGGTTTAATACTCTAAGTATTAGAATTCAATGCATTAAATATTCAATTACATGTGTCAATTATAAGCTCTAATAAACTGAACATTAGGATTGTGATGTGCTAAGCATGGAGTCCTGTATGCTAAGTACCGGGACTTGGTACGCTAAGTACGATATCCTATTGGTGCTAAGCAGTTGGATCTGTCCCTTTTTGCAATACATTGTGGTCCTCGTAAAAGAAAAACCTTTTTAGGTTCCTGGCATTCCAGGTTCTTGGTATTTGCTTTCCTTCCATTGTCTCCAGGATATACGCCCCATTTTGGTTCGCTTCCACAATCTTGTATGGGCCTTCCCATGTTGGTCCTAGCTTACCCTGGGGTTGGGCTCGACTCGCCTCATTTCTTCTTAACACGTACTCTCCCACTTTAAATGTTTTCTCTTTGACCCTCTGGTTGCAATATCTCTCTGTTATGCACTTATAAGCAGCCTAGCGCATCTCTACCCTTTCTCACCATTCTTCTAGGATATCCAGATTCAACCTTAGGTCTTGAGAGTTGACCTCCTCGCTAGTATCGATTGTTCTCAATGTGCCTATCGTTATCTCCACGGGGAGCATCGCCTCTACTCCATATGTTAGACTAAACGGGGTTTCCTGTGTGCTTTGTCGCGGAGTGGTTCTATATGACCATAGTACCATTGGAATTTCCTCAGCCCAACTCCTTTTAACTTTTCCTAACCGCTTTTTGATCCCATTTACAATGGTCTGGTTAGATAACTCCGTCTAACCATTTGTGTGTGGATTCGCCACCAAAGTGAATCGTTGGCAGATTCATTTGCTAGCGCACCATTCCCTGAACGGGTTCTCAACAAATTTTAGGTCGTTGTCGCTTACCAATATTTCAGGCGTATCGAATCTAGTCATGATGTTTTTCCATACAAACTTTATCACCTGTCTTCCGGATATGCATGCTAAAGGTTCCACTTCGATTCACTTTGTGAAATAGTCCACCATGACCACCATGTACTTCAGCTTTCCGGGTGCCTCCGGGAACGGCCCTACTATATCTATTCCCCACTGAAAAAAAGGACAGGGGCTTATGTTAGACAATGGTACTGAAGGATTTGCTTGAACCGGCGTGAATGCTTGACACTCTCCACATTTCCTGGTTAGCTCTGCTGCATCCTGATATGCGGTAGGCCAGTAAATTCCCGTTTAGAGCACCTTCCCTATCAAGGCGCATGTGCCCTCATGCGCGCCCGCTTGGCCCGTTTGTGCCTCTTGAAGCACCTCCTTTCCTTTGGAATTAGCTATGCACTTCAGCCATGGCACCGTGAACCCCTTTTGATATAGCTCTCCGTTTATTACTGCATATGAGGGTGCTTTTATGCGTATCTTCCTGCCCTCGTTGTGATCGTCCGGCAGAACGCCCCGTTGCAAGTATTTGACAAATAAGGTCATCCACGTGGGTCCATCGGTTGAGAGGTTGCTCACCTGTCGTTCATCTATGCTCCTTTCTTTGAGTACCTCTACCAGGACCTTCTTTGGCAAGTGATCAAAACATGTCAACGCTAATTTTCTTAACGCATCCGCTCTTCTATTCTCACTTCGCGGTATTTGTTTAATCATGAACCCCTTGAAAGATTGGACAAGTTGTTTCACTATCTTTATATATCGCTCCATCTGTAACACCGTGAAAATTTAAAACCAATTTAAACTTTTCAAAAACAACCTATATTCATTAAGTTATTACAAAAAGGTTTTCAATTCTTTTATTATCAGAGTATCCCAGAACATCAACATAAAACTGAGGAGCGGTACGATCACATCTTCGCCTTGCCACGGTTTCCTGAAGTACGTGAAACAATACACTGAAATTGTAAGCCCGAAAGCTTAGTGAGTGACCCCCATAATACCATACACATATCATATCATATCATAAACAGAACAGCCATGCATATCGAGTCTACATTGTGACTGGTCCGCCTGCACCAGGCCTTCCATCCACCCGGTCCACTCTCTCTCCGAGTCAACAGTATGACTGGTCCGCCTGCACCGGGCCATCAGTCCACCTAGTCCACTCTCTGAGTCTACAGTATGATTGGTCCGCCCGCACTGGGCCTTCAATCTGTCTGGTCCACTCTCCAAGCCTCGGGACGCCTGGCCTGCCCTATTGGGGCCTTCAACCCATCCGGACCGCTCGTCGGGCCTTCGATCTAACTGGTTTACCCTGGGTATGTTGTCCTACAACACAAAGCAGGACCCGTCTCAACCCAACCCCAGTCCAATAACCATGTGCATGGAAACATATAATCATATAGCAATTCACAACTAATCAACCGATCTAGCAGATCAAATAACATAGCAACATCCTAACCAGGATACCGACCTAACTGGTCACTAACATAGTATCATCCTATATACCAGGATACCGACCTTAACCATGTCTCTAACATATACCATCCTAACTACCAGGATGCATACATAGCAAAGCAATAACATAACAAACAACTACCAGGATTCTCGTCTGATAAAGGGTCGGCCTTGGTGCCTTAGACCCTATCGATGTAGTGAGGATAACTCACCTGCAACTGCCGACTTGAAGAAATAAGACCACGCTACTCCAACCACCAGCACGAACTCCACCACTGATCATTACCAAATAACCAAAACCAATAAACACCAATAATTACCAAAATACCCTTGGAAGTCAAACTGGTCAACCCTTGGTCTAAGTCAAAGTCCTCAGTCAAAGTCAACCTTCCTGGTTGACCATACTCGCCGAGTCAACCTGTTGACTCGTCGAGTTCCTATGCTCAGAAACTCCCATGCCACGACTCAACTCGTCGAGTCACCCCAATACTCATCGAGTCCAACAAGCTCTGAGTCCTTTCCTGCTCAAATCACCGAGTCATCCCTCGACTCACCGATTCACGGCTCAACCAAAAAAGCTTAGGACTTCACGACCAGACTCGCCGAGTCCAAGCATAGACTCACCGAGTCCAAGGGAATCTTCAACAGACTCATCAAGTTCATACACATAATCATACAACTCGTCGAGCACACCCATGTGACTCGCCGAGTCTCTTCAGTTCTCATTCCATATAGAGGCTTTTCAAGCTATGCAGGGACTCCAATCCATAGATCCACTCTTCTACAGCCTAACCCTCACATAAAGTTGAAAAGTTTACATGAAAGCAAGAAGATATAAGCCCAAAACACTTCTAGGGCTAGGGTTAAAGACAAAGGGCTACACCAATAACTCTTAGATAGGGACTTTATGACCTTTTGGGCCATCACAAGTCTAGATCTGAAGTAGCAACTTTAGATTTAGGTCTCAAACTTGAGATAGTTCCCAAACAAGCTAATGAATCCCAAATCAACCCCCATTCATGAATCAATAATGAAATAGCTTAAGGAGGAGGTTCCTTACCCCTGAAATGTGCCCAAATAGAAGTAGATTCCAGATCTACCCAAGTCCCTTGATGATGGCCTTCAAATCCCCAAGCTTCTTACACCAAATTTCTCTTCCAAGCTCTAATTCTTCATCAATGGAGTCACACACACACGAGATGAGGGTTTCTGGATCTCAAATGAGTAGCAAAGAGGCTGAAGGTGGGTTATAATGTGCTTTATATAGGGCACAACCCCTGGATTAGGGTTTTCTCCCTTTAGCGCCAACTCGTCGAGTCCAGCCGCCGACTCGTCGAGTTGGTCACTTAACAAGTGACCTGAACCGCGACTCGACTCGCCGAGTCTACTTATCACCTGTTGGATTAATGTCTAAGTCCATAACTATAATTGGTAAGACTTGACCCGACCCGGCATGGTCCATTTGGGTTGCATACCATCATGCACTTGGATAGACTATAATGAGAGAAATAAGACACTTATGGTTATTAATATATTATAAGTTCTAGTATATTAATAATAAGAATAATAAGATTATTTAATTAGTATTGATCAAGTTAATCTAGGATTAATTAAGTGATCAAAAGAAGACTAATTAAATATATGGGTTGATTGTGTAAATCATCCATACTTATATAGTGGGCTAATGCTCCATGGATAATCAAGTTGGGCTAAAACCCATAGGATGGTCCATGGATGCTCCATGGTGTATTTGAACCCATGGATCCAAGGAAATGGAAAGCCATGACAATTAAGGATTTACCCTAATTGTAACACTATATAAAGATCTTATTCTTGACAAAAATCGGCCACTAGAATCACACTAAAAGGTGAAGAAGAGGGCTAGTCGATTTCATGAAGTGTAGAACTCTCTCAAGTTATTCTAAGTGTTTTGATGATTGTGATTCCATTTGAGGCTTCCACACTATTGGGGCTAGGCACTCAAGCTTCATGAAGACTTTCTACATCAAAGAGGTATGT